AAGGCTGGTCAGTAATGGCTCACACCTTTAATCCCAGCACTCAGGAGGTAGAGACAGACTGATCTCTGTAGTTCAAGACCAGCCTGGTCTACAGAGCGAGTTCCAGGACAGCCAGGGCTACACAGAGGAACACTATCTCGAAAAACAAACAAACAAACCACCACCAACAAAAAAAGCAAGGCTCAGAAGGATCAAGTTGTAGTAGAGGGAGAATCTCCATGTGAACCTGGGAAGACAGGATGCTTGCCGCTGGCATCCTCAATAAGATAAGTTTATAAAAATATATAGATTAATAGTTATGGTTGAGACTTAGACAGAACTAGTAAATAAGAAATCTTAGTCATTGGCCAGCAGCATTTGTACTGTGTGTTATTTTGGGCAACCATGTGGCGATGGGGCTCGGCAGCTTGCCTACAGCATAAAACATGAAGGACCAGGTTGGGATGTGGCAGGTCTGAAGGTGATATATGCTTCCAATTCATTCAGAACAGTGTAGAGCTAGATCCTCTACATGGCAGTGGGTCAATATGCTGCCCTATGAGACCTAATGCTTGTGATGTACCCCAGACCTTAGAGATTGGTTCAACAAATATTTACTGGGGAAGAATTATGCATTAGATTCTGAATTAGGCAATTCTACATGATATACTAGGTGAAGCAATCATATGGTACAGCTTGAATGTCAGGCCAGCAAAATCTGGTTCTTCTACTTAAGGGCCATGTGACTTCAGGTATATTACTGATAGTCTAAAGCCTGAGCTTCCTTGTGTATGAAATGAAGGATAAATTTCCCTTGCAAGACTTTTGTAAATATTAAACAAGATAATGTGTGCAACAGTTCATGTTGGTAACTTATGCTATCAGCTATTTATTATCATTTATGCTAAGCTCCATGAAGGCAAGAATTATGTCTTCCTTGTTCTCTACTCTGCCCCTAGTGCTTAGCTCAAAAGTGTTAAATAAATGTCTACCAAATAGAGAATAAGTGCATGGCAGGGGCTGGAGGGATGGCAATGTTTCCACGAACATGCTCAGGGTCGCAGGCCTCGCCATGTGGATATGATCTTGCCCTTGTTTCTAGACTAGGATGTTCTCCCATGCAAGATCATTTTCATCTATGCTGAAGGTACAGGTCAGGGCAGGGGAAGCCTTACCCATGAGATGGCATCCCGAAGAGTGTTTGGGGAGACATGAGCAGACATCCAGTGGAAGGCATCTTTCCACCCATGGCACTTTGGATCTCTGTTCCTCCTTGGATCATAAGAGCCTGACCTAAATGGTACAATCAGAAGCTATTAAGTTCTGTACAAAATGGGAGCAGGAGGCCACATGTAACAGAATGTCAGTCTCTCACCTGTCAAGGCTAGGTCTAGAAAGCAGCGGGGTAGTGAAGGTTGTCTGAGGCCCATGTGAACTGGTGGGCCTGGGTGTTGCCTTTCGAAAGCCAGGTGCCAGCAGGCGGGGAAGAGCTGTGGGAGCAACAAGGATCAGTCTCACTAACAGCGATGGGTTGAAATAAAGATGGCCTTAACAATCTTCCTTCTAGCCTGTGAGGGAGCCTTACCCCGATGCTGGGGATGGAACTCAGGACCTCCAGCATTCTAGGCAAGCCCTCTACCACTGAGCCTAAGCCCCTAACCCTTTGCAGAGGTTCTTAAACCAGGGTACAGGCAGAAATCTTTAGCCTAGTAGGGACCACCACTCCAGAACTAATAAGGCAAGACCCCTCAGAATGGATCATGTTTACTTTGAAAAAATTCTCGCAGAGTTCCCCCACTCCCCTGAGTGGCAACTTCAACCATAAATCTATAAACACAAATTCTCACTATACTGAACTGAGCACGTGTCTCTAAATTCCTCCTCTTTCCATTGGCTTTCTTTTATAGACTCCGCCTCTTCTAGAGCTCCACCCATCTCCTTGGATGTAAGCTCCACCTTCTCCCCACTTTGCCCTACCGCGTCTCAAATTCCAAGGGCTCCAGACTCTTCGAATAGAGCCTCGCCCCCCATGCTCCGCCTTCCCTGCATCTAACCCCACCTACTGCCGCTCTGGCTGAGCGGAGCTCAGTGCAGTTCTGAGGCCATGGCCTGTTGGGAATCGCCTTGCAGATGACTCTTACCTCTCCCCAGGAGCCCTGTCAGGCGCCACATGTTGTGGCCAGCACCATAGAGAGTTC